AACGGCTGCACCAGGTGCAAAGCAACAGAAGTTGGGCCTCGGGGTTCTGTACGGCGCTGAAATTTTCAAGACACTAAGGGTGCAGACCGCAGTAAGTTCCACACTCACGTCAGACGCACATTTAACAACCTCAGCTAAGTCATGAGCTACATTTTAATTAGACAAGGGGCCAGGCTTTTGATTTCAAAAATAGAAATTAGGGTTGCAGTCCTTCATCTATTGAAGTTAATTGCAAAATCCCTATTATCAAGCTCTTGAGGTATTACCCAGGCTTACTTTTTAATTACATTTGATTCTTAATGAAGTAGATGGCAAAGAGAAAAGCAGCCCATGATTCAAACGATTCACATTTTTATCTTTCCTGATGAACAACAGAATAGGTCAAGGTACTTGCTGGATTTTCCCATGAGAAATGCTGTGATGTGAATAAGCTCAATTGACTTGATCCTGAAGGAGCAGGTTAGCTTTGAAAAGCATCACTCATTTTCTCCTCCTGTATACGCTCTACCCTCAAAACTTATGCAATGTAATTATAGAACACCAAGCCAAATCCAGTTCGGAACTTGAAAAATACCATGTAAGTATCCTAAGCTTGAATGACTTGTCTTATATTGTCTAATGTCATTCAAAACATAAGGAGTCCTAATTATAGTTTTATTTTCAAATGATGCACTTTAAAAGAGTGACAATTCTCCATAAAAACTGACAACTTCTCAGGGCATGAAGACAGCCAATAACTTGATATTTCTACATGATTATAAAACAATAAGCTATGAAACAACTTATGCAGAAAGAGTATGTTATCATGCTTGGCAAGAGAATAATACAAAGTTTCACTTTTTTCTCTTACATCAGTACCCATGTAAATAAATGAAGATTTATAGAAAAGACATTCATACTACAGGTGGGGCCATTACCTTGTTATACACAACAACATTCAAACTCTTTTTACATAATGAAAGCTGTTTCTTACCATCTGGAAATCAGGTTTAAAAATAAAAGTACTGGTTTTCTATTATATGAAAAGCTCAGCCCTTTATTGCAGACATTATTTGTCATATTATAAAATGCATAACTAATTTCTTACTTTTATGACTTTGAAAGATCCATTAAAAATCAAGGATTTGAAAATGCAATTTTGTTTTTAAAAGGTTAAAGGTTGAGATAAGTATTAAAGAAAGTCAAATGTCCACTTTAAGTGAAATAGTATTGCAAGGCTCTGGTGACACTCGCTTTCCCCTACCTTTCACTGGGGACAATCAATTTTACTCATTCAAAGCATCACTTTAAAAATCAAGGAGAGGACACGACACATGCAACTACTGTACATGATACTGCAGAAGGGAGCTGTAATTGAGGCAGCCCAGCATGGTTACAGCCAGGAACTGGAGAACGGAGGCTGTGTCCACAGAGTGGCAGAGCTCTGGGGGCATGAGAACCTCACCAGAGGAAGGGGTTGCAGTGACATACAGATGTCATGACCCCTTTTAAAGGAAGAACATACAACCCCCTTTCAAAGAGGGACAGAGAAACTAAGGCTGCCATTCACCCAGCCTTTTTTCTTTTTTTTTTTTTTTTTCCTAAATCCCTAGGTTTGGGTTTTTTTTTCCCCTATGGGTGGTTCTGTGTTTCAGACTTGCAGCATACCTGCTATGAACCAAGGAACAAAATACAAACCTCCCAAGTCCAGGTTAAAAGCATTTGCCCTTCATTACGATTCTTTCCCGTTCACAAGGCTGAAGACTTCAAAACCTGAGTAGGTCACTTCCTACTTCATGCTCACATCAGAGATCAGGGGAAGCCTAGATTACTTTCAAGGTCACCATGGACACGACATGGAAATCTGAATCAGCCCCTTCTACGTAACTGTGACAAACCTGCAGTGTAATACCCAACCACAGCCAAACTTCCTTCTGCATCACATTGTGTAGAATCAGCACCATCTACATTAAGCCAGCACTACTTAAGCAAGGAAAAGAACTTCTCACCTACTTCTTCATTTGGCAGTTCCCTCCTGGAATGCAATTTCTACTGTTGTTTTTACTGGAACGACGCCACTTTACACCTATTAAGTATTATGCTCATAAGTTTAGGGCCTTACGCTCCACAATATCAATATCTTGTAATCGTTCACTCTGTTGTTTAATATTTGTAGAAGTTCTAACTTGGCATGTCTCTTTCTGTATGACTCTCAGACTCAAGAGTACATAGTTATGACCACGGCTGCGAAAAGCACTCTGAGACACTTACTAGCCATTATTATCTTTGAAGTAACTTTTGTAAAGACTACTCAAGAGTACACAGAATATTCCCATGGCAGGACACAGCAGTTGCGGGGCATCCCTGCACTTGCAAACCATACAAACCATCCAAAAGCAGACAATACCAGTGCAGGGAGCAGCAAGCCCTCACGTCTCAAAGACCATCACAGACAAAGCAGAGGGCTGAAGAAAGCTAAAGCCCCTATGTATAGAGATGGAGAATTTCTGCTCAAATTTAACAGAACTGGTGAGCTCAAAGAACAGGTATTCTGAAGTGGTGGCTAAAATCACCAGTATTTAAGACAGGGATTAATACTAGAAGAATAACCTGCCTTACTATTAAAGTAATACTGAAGTAACTGCAGTAATAAGATACTGCTCACCACTTCAGAAGTAAATGCACCTTTCTTTTGAAAATAATAATTTTGATTGCATGTTTAGTGTGCCAGCATCAGTGATTGCTACATGCTCTGTACATCTGACACACTGTACAAAGTGCGTGAGGAATGATATTTAGCTAAAGGACTCTGTGCCTTGCTAACTATCTTGGTAAACCTTCAGGGAGCCTGATTTTCAGTGTATACAGTGTCTCAGTTGGGCACTAAATGAAAGCGACTCAAATCATTAATAACTTCCACTACATGCCATGTGCTATTATCTTTCTCAAAATTAAGGATAGGAAATAAAACCTTTAGTTGTTAGTAAGTCATAATAACTTTGAAAATAACGAGAAGGTATTATTAATTCTATAGCTATAGTAGCAATGAACTTCAGGTAAAAGTTTACGCTGACAGGTACCTCAGCAACACAACCCAAACATCATAGTTGTGGATGCAGATCAAAAAGCCAATTTCTACTCAGTTATTGAATTTAAGGGGAAGAAGAAAATGTTCAATCATAACATTTGCTTAAGAATGTTTATCTTCTTTCTTACCATTGAATGTTAAAAACACCCTTGCTTGAGGCTGGGAAGATCCTTTTACACTGCTAAAGTAAATAAATATCCCAATCAACACGTGCAGTGCAAGAAATGCCATCTCCTCGGATGCACAACTTAATATCCAAGAAACAGAACCTGAAAGACAGAGATATCACATTACTGTTGTTAAACAATTTTGTGGAGCAAAAACAACACTACAAAAAGATCTGTGTTAGAAAGCTCTTCCAGCTGAAGACATAATATGTGATAATATGAAGGAGGTACAGCAGTTCTGTTTTTCCTTTGTACATCTGAAAATGGTTTTCCCCCACAGTCTTCTGTGCTGGCAGAAAAGGAGCTCTCTGCCTGTCAGTATGAACCAACAGAGCCCAAGTTTTGGCTAAGGCACACTATAGCATTAGGTTCAGTTTATTTAAATAAGGACAATTCCACCTGCTGGAAAAATAATTATACCAAATGTCAAGGCAGAATAAAGCAAGGACAGGAGATAAAGTTTCACGAATAAAAAGCTGGCTGATATTTTTAGACGTCTCTCCTTAGTTTACATCATATTTGATCACCCTCTCGTGTTTTTTTTGGAGGGGGCAGGGTTGGGTTGTTGGTTGTGGGGTTTTTTCTTTTTTTTTTTTTTTCTTTTAACACATTTTAAGTCAAAGGTGCTTGGAAATGAGTTTTAAGTTGTAGTAAGTTGACTGCTCTAATAGCCCTCTACATTTTGTTTTAAGATGAAATCCTGACTATGTCTATCACTAATTTTAAAACCCTTGAAACCAAAAGTATTTCAATATGCTTGAAACTATTAGTCAACGTTTACTTTTTGGGCTACCTTCTCTCAGGATACCTACCTGCTCTCATAGACTTCTACAGAGCACCAAGAACACCTGGCATTGGACCACACGTTACACTTGATACTTCTACTACTCCTGCACATCTACTGAACCTACATTCATTTTATAGGGTTTAGCTGCTGAGAAGACTGAGCTGCTCAGAGATTCAGAAAACACACCAAAACAAATCTGCACCTTTTCTTAGCTCAGGAAGGGCTTGAGGTCACTGGAGTCAGTGGCACTGTCATATCAATTGTGATGGTCTTTTGACCAAACCCACAAAACCTAGTAGACATTAGAAGCTGAATATGGTATACCACTCCCAAACTGCATCTCTCCAAAAACTGAGTAGTCCAAATTTCATTTCACCTATGATAACAACTTTGTTCTTCAGCCTAGCTGCAAAAGCGAGAGTAAAATACATCTTCATTTTATGTCCATTCTACTTCCCTGCTTAAATGTATTTTTTCTTTTTGGCATCAACAGCCCTTCTACTAGACACGACTTACTGGTTAATCAGCTGATATATTTGATTCTATGGTAACTGGAAGCACTTTGAAGTGTTGTATTCTTCAGCTAGAAGATAGCATTAAAGGATATACATTTATTTCGTGAAGAGTTTTGTTGCCTGTGCAATCATCTTAACACTTCTTTACCTCAGCTCTGCTCCAGCACTACAGTCCCTCCAGTGGAAGCCAATATTTCTACACGCTTGTTCATTCGGTCCCTTTGAGATTCACACCTGTCCTAAAAGAGCCGGCTGTAACCACCACAGCACAGCAGGGATCAGCTGTCAGGCAGGGATGACTTTAGGTCAACACCAATTTGGGCTGGATCCACACCACTGACTGAGCGGTAAAAGCCCCGTATCTCATTACTACCTCTGTCATTCCCCAACCACTCACTGTAAATTGTTTTCAAAGGCTTCTCTCTGCATGAGAACTTCATACTAAGTTAGGAGTGGGATGGAGAGCATGCAAGCGAGGGCACAGCTCTGTAGCCCACACTCTAAAACTCTCCTTCACCACTGGAGTACTGAGAAATTCATGAAGATCAAGTAATGCTGCAGCTCTGCTAATTGACAAAAACACCAGAAATTTGCCAGCTACCGATCTGGTCTACGGGAGAAACATATCCATTCTGGCCCAGTTCCAAATTATCTCTAAGGGTCTGTTAACTAATGAAATGACAGTTGCAGAGTTTTCGCCAAGAATAATTCTTAAACAGGCTGCATGAACTCTAGTATTAATGTTGCTTTGTGGGCTTTAAATTTAAAACCTTGTGACTAGCCCATGGGATATCTTTTAACTTACCCCTCTTCTAAGAGAGAAATGCCATTAAATCCTGATAAAATTTCTTTGCCAGGCCAAGACAAATAGCCAAACATACAGAACATGTGATTTAACAGATGCAATGGGATTAATATTTTACAGTAGTAGCACTATGCTTTCTTTGCAACAGAGATAAAAAGTCAAAGAGGAACAAGTGTGTGGCTTTCTCTCTTCCCTTAAATGATATCGCAGGAAATAATAATGAAAAAAAAATCCCTTTCAGCACTCTTCCCCTCCCACTCTCATGCCTCCTGCCAGTTCTAGTGCAATCAGTTACAGGAGTGAAACACTGCTACATTTCATTGCTCAAATTGCAGATCTTCACTGTTAACACAGAAGTGACAGGCAAATACAAGATTCCAATTCTGAGCTGCATGGTTCCTACCCAACTGTTAGACACACAAATAATAAATGCATATGGTGCCAAAAAGGTACCTCAGGGTGTCTCGCATGTGAGGTACCTAATGGAAATAGGTTTAATTTCAGAGATTTACATACCTGGTAACTGCACACAAACCCATTGCAGGTTTGAGTCTCGGTTTGGGCTTTTATCCCAGTTCTGAATTTATCTCAGTAAGTCATGATACTATATTCAGCATGTCCTGTGCACATGATCTCTGCTGACAGCCCACAGACCTGAAACCCTGCAAGTACTTTTAAAGAATCTTTTTGGACAGACAAAAGGCAAAGTCTAATTACATTTCTACTCTAACTGTAAACAAACCAGCAAACCGCTACTAAAGTAAAGTGGAGAAGTTTTCCTGCCACGGAGGTCGCTTTCAGCATGCTGTATTGCTTTTGGAAAGTACTATACAGCTTTGCTGTGAAGTGCTGTGCAGGTGTCATCTGCTACAGGCTGAGTCCTACCCTTAAATCCTGTAAGGAAAACCATGCAGCAGAAGAAAGGAAAGAAAGAAAGGGGGGGAAAAAAAAAAAACACAAACCGTGCCAAACACAGACTATGCTAATCTGGAAAATATTGCTTTAACTATCTGTGAACAGTAGGAAAATTCAGCCATCAAATACATTTCACATCTATTACAGCAAAGAAAGAGAACTTTCAGTTATGCTTACCCAGTGATTGGAGGAACCAGTAATACAGATTTCTGATTTCTATCAGTTTACGGACTCCACTCCTGCTACCAGAACATTTTATTTCCAAACCTGCTCATTGTGCGGGGAAAAAAAAAAAAAATAAAAAAAAAAAAAACAATAAAGAAAAGTCTCTCGTCCCGGTGGTTGCAAAGGTACTGCCGGCTCCTTTGTAAAATAATCCTTCCAACCGGACTCCTGAGGCAGCAGGAGCGCTTCTCCTCAGCCCTCAATTACGCACCTAGGAGTGAATGGAAAGCGGCCGGGCGGTGACGGGCAGGCTGGGGTTTCCAGTTACAGGCGCTGCCCTGCCCTCGCCGCCGCGCTAGCGAGGCGAGGCACCGCGGCCCCCGGTGCATCATTAGCTGAGCAAATAGGGGCTGGAGCTCATAAATAACGGCGAGGCCACCCCCCGCCGAGCGC